TGAACACTGGTGCTCCACAGGGGTGTGTACTGAGCCCTCTCCTGTACTCACTCTACACCTACGACTGCACGGCCACTAACAACTCCAACATCATTGTGAAGTTTGCGGACGACACTACAGTTGTAGGTCTTATCACCAAAGGTGATGAGACAGCTTACAGGGAGGAGGTCAGCATCCTGACCCGCTGGTGCTGAGACAACCATCTCACCCTCAATGTCACAAAGACAAAAGAGTTGATAGGTGACTTCCGCAGGTGTAGAGAAGTACATACCCGCATCACGATCAACGGAGCTGCTGTGGAGAGAGTGAGCAGCTTCCGTTTACTTGGTGTACATCTGACAAAGGATCTCACATGGACAGTACACATAAAGAAAACAGTGAAGAAGGTGCAGCAGCAGATCGAGAATTAAGAAGTGCTATATTCAGCGAGTCAGAAGCCTCATTATTTGCAGAAGCTTTAGTTAACGGACGTAGATATACAGGGTCTGAGCCGTCATACTCGTAGAATCCACTCACCGAGGGAATAAAAAGCGAGGTGGCAAAAGAGTCTGGAAAAAAACCCCTAAGGCAGCATGGTCTCAAAGATCCGGGCCCAGCGTATCCAAGCAGGGTCATGGAAAACTGGTCCCCCTCCATGGAGCTTTTCAAAGCACAGGAGACAAGGCACGCTCGACATCACTTACCAGCCAAAGCTCGCCGCCAGTAAAGCCTGAGTTTTACCTGAATAGCTGCTCTTCTCCCTCTCCTTTTCCATGGTCTACAGGGACAGCTGAGATCACCTGATGAGGATCCAGCTAATGGTGGAGGGTGGGAAATGCAGAAGGAGGAGGAAGAGACATTGTGAGGCATCATAGAGGAAGAATGGACAGTAAAGCCAGGCGATCATACACCAAGGCAACTAATACATAGTTAAAACTAAGTGAGAACATCAGAGCTGAAAAAAAAACGTAAGCGAGTGCGATGTTCATGGCAACAACTGTGTGCAGAGTATGAGCGTGCAGCGTTTAAAGTGTGGGTAAACTTCTGCGCAAGCACCGAGTGCGCTGCCACAGGAATGCGAAATTCACAGAGAAACTCCCGGATTCTTCCGCTGACCGCTGCGGCACACCTGCACCAGGGCAAACATCCGCCTACCACACTCCTCCTATCCAGGTGAAAATAGAGCGACCGGACCGCTAGCCTTTGATTTTTCTTATTTTCTGCTGTGTTTTACTTGCATCCATGTGAAAGACTGAGTGTAAACACAAAAACCTATTTCATGTGCAGGAATGTGCAGAAAAAAGGTTTAAATGTTAAACTCTGTTCTCTGACTGGAAGAAACAAATTTCTTCCAGTCAGAGAATGTTGCATATAATTTAATTTTTGCTTTATGCATAAAGTTAAAAGAGTAAAACTAATAAAACGAGTTTTAAAAAGAGACTTTTCCATTTGATTACATTTTGGATGATAGATCATGCAGAAAAAGTAGAATTGGGCTGAAAGATCTACCACTTTATCACCTATTCAGGTTGTAAATTATGTTTTTAAAAAGTAACTAAGTAACTAATTACTTTCAACAATAAGTAATCAGTAAAATAACAGGTTTACTTTTGGGGGGAAGTAATCAGTAATTAGTTACTGATAGGTTTGAAGCTTAAACCCATTCGCTGGAACATTAAGGACAATTTACTACACAGCAGAAACAAGACACAAGTAGGCAAAGTTCTTCGTGTTACTCATGCATGAGGGAGAGAACCACGACGAGAGCCGTTCCTTCACTTGACCCCAGTCGCTCTCGTCCGCTCCCCCGTAACACTGCTCTTTTATTGAGGT